CGCCAAACATGGTTCAAGGCTTCTAGGTTATTAGAAAATTTAGTCATTTTCCACCGACGACACCAATTGTGTGGGAATAAATCCACAAAAAGAGGAATCACCTTGTATAGACTGAGAAGGTGGTGAATAAACCTTGGGTAACTTGCAAGGCAAGAAAATACCTAAGTGAACCGATGACCGGATGCGGCCAAAGAAACTTCGACACTTAAATTAGATAGCGAGTCAAAGAAAAGTATAAAGTGAATAGGCAAAGATTGAATCAATTACCTGGTACCCAGGGCTTTTATTTATAGTGATAGGGATATTTGTCCCAAAAGAATCTGAACTCTTCGTTGATTGGCTCAACCCCGTCACCAAATCTTAGAAGTACGGGGTAGAGTTAGATTAGGACTCTAGGTCTTAATCCTTTATCACTAACTCTTAAATATTCAAAGTAGTATTAAATTAGAACTCTAGGTTCTATGTTAATCCCTTATCGAGTAAGAATTATCCATAGTTTTCTTGGGTGCCAAGTGCAGACGAGCAAGGACCTGCCCAAGCCATTTGCGGACTGATAGTAGCCTGGCGAGCCACTTCCCACTGGTAGTAGCCAGCCAAGCCCAACTGTCGACTAGCAGTGGCCAACTGATCCACCTGCCGACTGGCATGAACCACTTTTTCCAAATGCCGACTGGCTGTGCCAACCGGCAGCAATATATGCCAAAATGTCTTGCCCATTAACTTGGGTATTTTACGCCTCACAATTTACTACTTACCACGTCGGATGCTTTGTTACTGATTGTAGGTTTGATACGTTTGAGTTAAATATCTTTTGTTTTTTGTTAATTAATAGGTATCTACGTCTCTTAGAAGTAGGACTCTCAATCGAACAAGTCTAAGCTAAAGCCGTATTCCTATTCGTGGGTTTCGAGCTATTGCCAACAAGTCGAGCCCATAAGACTCTTGCTTAGAACATGTGACTAATCCTCTTAGATAGATAGAACTCTTCCATTCCACATGTATGCCTAGAACTCATTACATCTCACATTGTAAAGCGCCAATCAACAAAAGATTTTAAAATAATAATAATAATAAAGATTTTAAAATAATAATAATAATAAAATACGTTAATGGAAGTATATACTTAGCATCTTNCATCTCACATTGTAAAGCGCCAATCAACAAAAGATTTTAAAATAATAATAATAATAATAAAATACTTTAATGGAAGTATATACTTAGCATCTTTTTACTTTTCCAACTTGTAATTGTATTATAACCAACCCCAATCCATTAGTTAATTGGATGAAAGTTAGTGATTACCACTTAAAAATATAAAAAAGAAAACTTTTACGAATCAAAATATCACTCATAGAAGTTTAATGATTTAAATACGATTATTTAGCGCATCTTTCAAAGATCTGCAGTGTAGTCTATCCCATCAAAAAATGGAATTATATCTGCAATTTACTCAATAAAAAATGACATCTTTAGGACTTTGTGGCATTCCATTACAATTTGCCAACAAGTTAAGTAGGGGCCAGTACTTATTGGCATGAGAAAGTTCATGATCAAGTTCTTGCCTTTGTTTTTTTTTATTATTATTTTTTTTTGGAGCCAACTTTGTAGTTATAGATCATCTTAATCTTGTAAGAGATCTATTTTCACTTTGTAATCATATATATTTAGGTTATTCTCATGCAAGTACATCACAAACATAGGTTCGGATTGGAGGAGAGGGTTTTTAGATGACATGTTAATTTCAATGAAAGAAGACGCAGTTCATAAAAAAATTACTTTCCTAACTTTATGTGGAATAGGACATCGTTCAAGTATGTCCTCCCCTAACTTATTTTTTCACTTTTCTCCAAATATTTTTTTACACTTTACCCTTTCTTATATGTACATTTGGACGAGGAGTCTCAATCAAGTTGTAATGGTATGTTTAGTATCATATCAAAGTTCTGAGTATGAAGTTCAGATTGGTAGGGTTATAACTTAATAGAATGAGATCACACCAACATAGAATTATTTGGATTTGATCATAGTATATTAGGATGGTTCTGTTGGGATTTAATGCGCTTTAAATTTATTGACAAACACACACAATCAAAGAACAAACCAAAAATATAAAATAATGAGAAATAAGAAAGAACAAAACACACAGATTTTACGTAGTTCGGNTCATAGTATATTAGGATGGTTCTGTTGGGATTTAATGCGCTTTAAATTTATTGACAACCACACACAATCAAAGAACAAATCAAGAATATAAAATAATAAGAAATAAGAAAGAACAAAACACACAGATTTTACGTAGTTCGGCAATTTGCCTATGTCCACGAAACTGCAGGGATTTCACTAATGAGAGAGAGGAATACAGAGGGCGGTTGTACAATACACATAAAACCCTAATCTCTAAAATAACAGGTTTTATATGTCTTGTGCACCGGGCTACAAAACAAGCTCAAAAAATTTTTCCCAAATGAACGGCCCAGGCCTCCGCTCTAAAGATTAAGCCTCATAAAATTTTTCATTAAAAATTACGCAATATTATTTCGGATCGGATCATCATCCGAATCAACACAAACTAGACTCCACAAAAAAAAAAAAAAACCCAACAGGTTCTTAGGTAAATACTTGTAATGTTAAGCTAAATACTTGTAATGATGGTAGTAAAGACTATGAGGAGACCAGGAAGAGACCCGGAGGGCTCCCATGCTCTGTTAGCTAATGCATTGTTGTCTTGCAGTTCATTAATTTTTAATCGGTAATTTGATTAATAACTTAAAACCACCGATTAGAAACGATGCTTATCCTAATCTCTCGAGGTGTGGAACCAGATCATGAAATCAAGCTGATGATTGGTCGCCATTCGTATTTTTCTATAAATTACATGGGATGGATGGGACCCACACTTTGTCTTAATCCACTTTACAATACATTTAGGACATACTATTAGTTTTTTTTTTGGGTTAGACGGTATGGCCTAGAATGGACAATAAGGTTCGAATTGGTGACCTTAAAGTCTAACAATATAAGAGTAGTCTTAGGCTAACAGGCAACAACTAACCGCGTCTTTAGTTTATGAAAGTTCAAGTGATAAAAAAAAGTGACTTGTAAACTCAGATATCATGAGTTCAAATTTTAGTAATTTTTTGAAGTCAGGTCATGAGAGATGTATTCATCATGAATATCCTAGTTTCGGCATAGATAGTTGGCATTTGATCAAACCAGAGAAAAGATTAGTCAAAGTTCGCTTAAACTAATCTGAACACCTCTGACCGTCAAATAAAAAAAAACAATACAATGTAAGTGCTAACTAGGCATCTCCATATTCCAAATCATATANGAGTTCAAATTTTAGTAATTTTTTGAAGTCAGGTCATGAGAGATGTATTCATCATGAGTATCCTAGTTTCGGCATAGATGGTTTGTATTTGATCAAACCAGAGAAGAGATTAGTCAAAATTCGCTTAAACTGATCTGAACACCTCTGACCGTCAAATAAAAATAAACAATACAATGTAAGTGCCAACTAGGCATCTCCATATTCCAAATCATATAGACAATACCATGTTGAACAAGATTTTTTATCAAGTATTTCGTCTCAAGTGATGTGGTATAATTTTTACCACCAAATAAGTTGGTCCTATTAATATTTAATGATAAAGACTATGCCACATTACTTGAAATGAAAAACTTTGTAAGAAACATGTTAAATACAACATTACTAGAATAATATACCTTCAAATTTTTATTTGGACCAAAATGGCCTTAGAAATTGAGCAAATATGCAGCGTTTCGAAACAGCGGGACGGAATGATATACCTTCTAAATTTTGTGTATTAGTTTTAAGGATCAAAATTTTGNTTTATTTGGACCAAAATGGCCTTAGAAATTGAGCAAATATGCAGCGTTTCGAAACAGTGGGACGAAATGATATACCTTCTAAATTTTATGTGTATTAGTTTTAAGGATCAAAATTTTGTTTCGGTGTATTATTTTGATCACCTAAGAAACGGAAACGTTTCGACGTGTTTCAGAAACATTTCGACCCATTTTGAAAACTTAATGAAAAAAATAAAAAATTATTTTTTCTAAAACATAGATCGAAATATATCAAAATATCTTAAAATATTTTAAAATAATTGTGCAAATACATTGAAATATTGTAAAACATATAGAAACATTATGGAATACTTCGAAATATTAAAATTTCGAGTCCATCGTTTCAGTCTTCTTGAAAACGGAAACGTTTTGACCGTTTCGAAACGATATTTTGATCCCTGATTAGTTTTTGTTTCTATTGTTGTTATATAGAATTATTCAAACATCTTTTATTTTTTTATTATAGCCTAGCATATTATACGAACCGTTATGACTAAATCCTTTATAACTCATTTATAGATTAAAATCAATCATTCTACAATCCAATCCGCCCAATAACATCATCACACTGCAGACTCAAGAACCCAAGAAAACCAAAAGAACTCAATTCCGAACACTACCTCAAAAGGGTCATCTATTAATTACGCTTAGATTGATACTGTTCATAACCTCCTTCCCAAATACATTAATACTTAACACCTTCCTACAGCATGCAGACATAAAGATGTTTACATTTTTCACTTTGCCACTTTTGAAGATTGTTTAAATGTTCACTTTGCCCTTTCATTAATTAGGATCCTCTCATCATATCATGTTGGTGCTTTTTTTTTTTGGGTCAAACACTATTACAGAAAGGGGGACAACGAGATTCAAATTTGCGACTTTAAAGTCCAACAGTAGGAACAATGACTATTAGGCCAACCGCTAAGCTCCGAAAGCAAGTTAATGCTAAACTCCACAGATTTATCAAAATTTTAGGCACATATTATTCTCAGATATCAGTGTGAAGAGGAGACTTACAATAAATTGAAGAGATTTAAGTCCATACAAAACCAAACTATACAAAAACCTGAAATTTCCAAGGGATTTCTCTTTCTCTCTCTCTCTCTATGTGCTGATTGACGGCTGATTTACCCAGCTCCACGGGTGGATGTGTATATTGGGTTAGATGTTTTCTGTACATCTAGAGCTTGAACCTTACCAAGTCTTGTCTTCTCAAGCCATGCTCGTCGAGCAGCTTCTTGAATCTGTCGATCATGTTCCCTAAGCATCTGATCCACATTCTTTGATGGAGCAAATAATGGACCTGAGAAATGGATCTTGTTTCCCCTAAACCCATGCCCATGCTGGAAAAAGGAAACCAAACAAGCATCAAGTGTTAGATAACAAGTTCAGAATGTCGATGCATAACAATGACCAAGATTCACAGTGCTCCATGCAATGATACAAGCTCCATGGAAGAAAGAAGATCAACAAGTTAGCAGACACATGATGAAGATAAAGTACATCAATATAGCTAAAAAGAACATGATGAGAGGTATTTGTTCATAGGCGTTGCAGCAGAGATCGTCCCTGGCTTGAACTTACAAGGATGGGGTGTTGGGAATTAATGCATCATTTCTCTAAAAATAGGTCAAATGCAGATAGCTGTCATTACTCATAACTGAAACAATAGAAAATGTTACTTACAGATCATAACCTAAATGTTTGAAAGTAGTGTCATGAAACTCACCGCATGTGGTTCTTTAGTACTGGCTCTGTCATCTTCTGTCTGATGAGAACCGGCAATATTCTGAGTCTGATGCTTCCAATCCTGCTTTCTAGTGGGTTTCTCATAAGATTCCGAAAGCCTGCCCACTTGATTTGTTGCCTCAGGTCGTGAAGAATCAAGTTTATCTCGGCACTCTTCCGAAACTGAAGTCCTAGAGGCTACTAAACCAGATAAGGTGGATAAGTTGCCTCTGATTGAGACATTGGAAATACCATCACCTCTCTTTCCTCCTTTTGCCCATCCAACCCCTGGAACCAAAGGCCCTGAATGCGAAGCTCTCTTTGGATTCTGTTCCATTAGATCTTTACTCACTTCTTTTACTGATTGTCTCAGTCTAGGTGGATCAATGGGAAACCCAACAGCAGCTTCCTCCCGACGACGGTTGAACAGCTCACTTCGGCTCTTCGGACTGTAATGGCCCTGCCTTGTCTGTATCAAGATGCAAGCTATTTCATGAGAGGATATACGGCAAAAACAAAACAACGAAGTTGAAATCAGGGAAAGAATGGAATGTGACATCGCTGGACATCTAAACAAGATTATATCTTAGCTCAAATGAAATATCTTTTCTTGTTTTATTTTATTTGCCAGGAGCGATCAGAAGAAACTCTCACATCTGATTCTGTAGTCAAGAGGAAAGGGGGTAAATAGCATTTGAGACATTGAAAGTTGAAATCCCAAAAAACATAGAACCAATTCAAAATTAAATGAAACCAATAAATGTCCTAAGAAATTTTTTTACAGACAAGTATCATAGTGTGATGCCTATCAACTAAGCCAAACCAATGAAAACACATGACCAAGGCAAGTTAGAAAGCTAGAACACCCAGTTTTCGGCATCAGATGATCAGATAGATGCAACCTGCTTTCACAACATTCTCCTAAATCCAGAAGACAAGAAATTCAATATGCTAATTATTAAAAGCATAACCAGTTAGGAGGGCAAAAAAAAAGGAATCATTGCCGCCATTAGATTTAATATCTAAAACACAAACCTGGTTATAAAAGCATGCAAGTATAAAATATTCAGGGGATACAAAAAATAATAAAAGTAATACTCAAGGGAAGGGAAGAAGGGCGGGGAAGAAATCAGTGCATCACATGACAAATAGAATAGCCAGTGGCCGAATCTATTTAAGTTTGTTTTCATAATCCCGGGGTGAACAATGAAAAAAAAAAAATCCAGGGCATCAGCTTTATGATCTGAAACAAGGTTCATGTGTCTGAGAATTTTGAATCAGCACGCCGACAGCAGAACTTAAGGAGACCTATTCAAGATAAGGTATTGCTGGTGTGTAGCTCTAGCATCACCATATGCATGTTTCCATCCAAATGATAAATCTTATTGAAAATTACAGCACAAAAGAAGTATCCAAGGAGAAATAAAGCTTTGAAGAGATCAACTCGTGCTACAAACAGAGAGAAATTATGAATTGAA